CACCCCTCGACCCTGTCTCTCTCGCTCTCTCTCTCTCTCTCTTTCCCCTCTGCCCTGTTCTCTCTTTTCCTATCTCTGTTTCTCCCGGCCAACCGCGCGATTCTCGATTCGTTGCACTCGGACGACTCTCGAACGAGCGCGACGACGATACCCGATGATATAGCGATTCCGGTGGCTGCGACGGCGGCGGCGGCGGCGGTTGCGGTGGCGGCGGAGAGGCGCGATCGCCAAACGGAGCAAGTGTGTGCAGCGGTGGCGCCGAACTGCGGCGGCAGCCGTTGCCAGATTTCGATACGGTGCGATTAGAACGACGCTGCACGGAAACGACGGGAAGACGCGGCTCTGTTCGCGTATCGACCCCGCCTAAACCCCGCCTCGCTGCGACGGAGCCGCACGAACGACGCCGAGCGTCGGCGAGCGTCGACGACCCCAGCTCGTTCCCCTTTTCCCTGGTCCTCGTCCTTTTCCGCGAGTCCTACCTTTCCTCCTCTCGTCCGACTCTCCCTCCGTGACCCCTGCTTCTGTGCCCTTCGAACCATCGGTACCCCTGGATCCACCGAATCCATCGATGCGCCCATCGATTCGGCTCCGCTTCAATCGATCTTGCCTGGGAATCAAGCATGGTCACCCTCTTCTGCGTTGTTAATCAGCAGGTTGTAATAGGTTCCTCGTACTCTTTGGGGCACCGTTTCGCAGCCAGGGAACGGAAATCTTTATTTGAGAGCTTGATAGTTATCTCTATCGAATAAGAAGTTCACGATGAACGCATCTTCGGGAATAGAGCCATTCTCTCCGTAAACGTACATCGAAAGAACGCGATAGAATCGGTTGCATCCCTAGTAGCGATTGCGGACAGTAGATTCGGACAGTAATGGTCGGACCGATAGCAGAATTCCGCTAGGTTGTTCGTGTTCGACGAATGTTCGAACGAAGTGATTACAGTCCGCAGTTTCGAGCTGCTTTTGTAAAGGGGGCTGCTTTGTTTCCTGTTGTATCGCGAATGCCGGGACACTCTGTATAGTCACGCGAGCAAATCGCAGGTGGTCGCAATGAAGCGTTTGTTGACGGGTACTCAGCGGCGAATGCATTTCTCTTGATGAGAATCGCGGGGTGCAGCCAGGACACTGAAGTACGCTAATCAGCGCGAGGAACCCGTTGGACCGATTCGAGAACGTCGTCTGACCATGCGAGACCCTTTCCACGTCGCTCTAATTATCGGATGCATCGAGTGCCGGTCGCGGCGCATCGAGCATAAAAAGCAGCTTTCGAGCAGCGACGTGTTGCGGACGGTGACTTGTCCGTGCCACAATAAAACCACGCCGACGTACCCGCGCGATAAATATGCGCCGACCTAACGGTGGCTCTAAAGAATATAGCCGATCGCTGAAAGAAGTTCTTTATGATGGAGTCTATACACGCGAAATTTCTTGTTTCATATGCGAAGACTGCGATCAACCCGTTAAGGCGACGAGTTAACTCGTTACTCGCGTCGGTTCCCGGTTTTGTCAGTAACTTTTAGTTTCCTTATTCCATCGACTGTCCGTTTAGTACGCTTCCCGAATGCTCGCGTCCGCATAATTCAAGTTCACGGGATTCAAGGTTCCTGAAATCGATCTTTCGTATGCACCGAGCTAATAGTCGCGGTTCGATCTATTATGCATAGTTACTTCCTGGCCTCTACTTTCGTAACTTCGATCTCTATGTCGAATAATACAACGGTCGCGCGTTGCGTTCGCGATTGTACGCTTGTAAAGGCGTTACTCTAGTTTCGACGATAGCCACGCATGCCGGGCATACACACACGAACATACACGTACACGGCCGTCTTCCGATAACGCGCTGCGACAGCCAACCGAACCGTATTCGAGAAGTATCCCGTGCGTATATAACAGTGACTCGCGCTACAGTACATCACGCGCTATTGTAAATTTAAATTGTCCCGCTATTTATAGAACCCGGTAACCGGTTGATCCTGATTGGTCGCGCGTCGTACGCGTTTGTTGCGACGGTTCTTCTACGAACGAAGCCGCCGCCGTTTTTCGGAATAAATCTTCGAAATTTCGGTGCGCTTCATTTAGACTTCCGACCGCGAACTGTGCCCGATCGATGACTAACGTCTAACGATGTTCTTGAAACCTTCCGACGTAATTATCAAGCGTATCAACCCCTTAAACTTACACAGTCGAAGATATCATTAGAATCTTAGTAGCAGCAGGACCACAATCCGTCCGGTATAGTCGCCATGTTCCACGCGACAGGGGTTAAAAATCCTCGATAACAAATCAGGTAGTTAATAACAGAACGCAGCCATAAATTGCGATTGAAACTCATTGAACAAAGGCTGCCCCATTCAAAAAACTCGTAAATTCATTAAATCTCGCGTCGAAAAACGAGAGCAAAGAAGCAAACGGCCCGTTATCCTGTTAATCGAAGAACACGAGTTAAGTCGTTATTCGTATTCGATCGTGTCTTCCGGTAATTCTCGGCCTTCCTATTCATTTACCCAAGGATGCCAGCATTCAATCGTATCGTAAAATCTGTAGTAACGCGAATTGCATCGTAAATACTCGCGTTTATTACCGCATAAATTGTTTTCGATCGTAATCATTCATCTTTAATTATATGCGTGTGTGGTATGTGTATGTTCATTACCGAAAAATCGGCCGGCCGACGAATTAACGGCGTTCGCGGTGTATCGTGAAGAAACCGCGCGCGGCGCCGCGACGTCGGGGGTTGCCGGGAGAGGAAGAGAGAGTGAGAGCGGGCGAGCGAGAAACGGAAAGGGAGAACGAGAAGAACGCGAGGAGACGACCGATCGATCGGCGGCGACGCGGTAGTCCGCTCCGTAGCGACCGTCGCCTTGAAAAAGAGACAATCGAGCCGAGCGAACCCGGTTTTGCGCCCATCGGGCAAGCGACGGCTCTCTGGTCGATCGCCGCACATGGGCGGACGGATGGGCATGGTTACAGCCGGTAAAATGGCGTCAAGCTCCGACCACTCTGACCACCCATTCGACTGCGCGCAGTTGCGGCCCCGCCTGCTAACTGCGCGCGCTTCCTCTCTACTTTCCCGTATTCTCGTTTCGTTTCGAATCTCCGGCTGTGCAACTATACTATATAGAAATGGAAAAAAGTCCCCTGGCAGGAATGTCAGTCTCAGTGGTCAAAATGGAGAGGGCACAGCCTTCCACGCACGGATTGCCGACTTTGGCATACCATTTGTCAGAATCGTCACCCACACAGACTTTTCTGAATGTCAGAGGTGGGGATAGGCGGTCCCGACGAGAAACCCCTCTTGCCCCTGTGCCGTCCCAATGTACTTCTTTCCATTACATCCGCTGCACAATTTCCTGCGGTTTTCTTTGTTCGCCGACACGCGTCTTCGAACGGCTCATTGATTGCTGTTATCTAATTGTACGCGCGTGCTGTAAATTCAGCCGTAATGACCGCCAGATGGCCGCCGAAAGTATTCCTACCGCGGATGTTACCCGAGACTTCCATTAAGCGCGCGTAGAAAACTGCTCTAATTTCGATTGTGTTTAAATTAGATTCGTTTTATATTGCCTGATCGTTAAGTACTGATCGAATCTTTGTAAATTCGAGGTGGGAACGTTAAAAGTTCTGACGTGCGAATAATTATTTTGCATTGATGCGAGTGAGCGGTTTCTCGACTGCTCTTCTCTTCTCCGAGTTTAGGGATTTCTTAACGTAAATCGGGAAATTTTGTGTACTTTCTCTTGTCCATCTTTTAGGTTTACGAGTTCTCGGCAAGCCCTCTTTTGATGCAATAGGTTTGCAAGATTAGATTACCCGTAATCTACCATTTTAAGATTTGAAACGCGGTTCCGCTTATGTTAGAAAGTTTCACAGTTACGTGACGAACGATTCTGCAACGGAATGCACGGTCATGTTGCATTGACTATTACCCTGCAAGGAAATTCCATTTTACCGAACGATCAGCACAACGATAGCGTTCTTACCTATGAAGTGAGTTACAGTATACTTCGAACTTTCGTAATGTATTCGCAGTGGAATGTTTCGCTCGGCATTCTCAGCAACTTATATTCCGACCCTGCGCAGTTATTGATTTAAGCGCCCTCCATTTTACTTGGAGCGTGGCGTGAAATGCCTCCACTCGATATCTCGGTGTCGCTTACAGTTATGACAGTAACTTTTCACGATATCTTTCTTTTCGAATTACTACAAATAGGACAACAGAGAGGATCAGAAGGTGCAATTGAAAAGTCGGAAGATTCGTAGAAAATTAATTTTATTATCGATAGGTCTTTACAATAGAATCATAAACGGAATTATTACAACTATCATTCATTATAATGGATAATTTAGAAGTACATCTTGTCTTGCCAATTCGAGCAACATAGGATCGTCGAAGAATTTATTAATGGATACATCTTCTGAGAGACCCTTCCTTCTCCGCGTCTTCAACATGAATTCCCTAGCCAAGTGTGTAGCCGGTTGAGGTTCGAGAGGTCGAATCGTGATACTCTTGTCCAAAGGATCACCGGGTACGATCTGCCAATGGTGAAACACGGACAAGCAGAATGCCTGACCCTGCGTGTGCGTTCTCAGATCAGTCTCGAACCCGAAGCTATCGATCGCTGGTATGAACGCCTTGATGGTGTACAAGGGGCTTCCGGGAACAGGAGCATCTTGGGTCACGTGACCTCTTCTCTTAGCTAGAACCGTGTAAACGGCCGACACGCAATCCGCGGGAGCTTGAACCTCCACGAATAAATAGGGTTCCATTAACCTAGGCGTCGCCATCAGGAACGCGGAGTAGGCTACTCTTCTAGCAGTCGGAATAATTTGTCCACCTAACACAGGAAACAAAATTAATAAAAGTCCACCCACTTGAAATATTCAATCTCACCTCCTCGATGCAGAGGTTCCTGGGCGATCACAGCGTCGAGGATCTTAAATTTGACATTCCGAATTGGTTCCTCGCAGAGAGGACCTTCTCGAGTACCCCATTGAAAGCCTTGAATAATGGCGTCTCGCGCACTGTTTAGCAAAGTTTTATCCACCTCGGATGGGAGAGTGTCGTCGACTAGAATGTTAGGGCCCGTGGAATCAGGACCAAACGCCCATATACTTCGCGCAGCTAGCAAGTCCCAATCGTATTTCGTTTGGAAGAACTCTCCTAGCCGTTTCCTGTAAGTATTCAAATGATCGAAACCACCCCCATGTTGGGTTCATCGAAATGATCCGATGTCAAGTGAGCCGCTTACTTGTTCCATGTAATTTTCACGTGTTCCGCTTCTATGTCCTCCGCCAATCCTCTTTCCAACGGTTCGGCGATCATCGTCAACTTGTTACGTTTATTCGGCGTTTCGGCGAAACATTTCAGGGAACTGGTCTCGACTACTGTCTCCGCGAACGCGACCACAGGGTCGGCGACTTTTATATCGATTTCTGAATACATGCGCCGCAAATCGTGCATGGCACAATCCAAATATAATTCTCCTGTGCCCAGGACTACGTGTTCGCCGCTTTCTTCGACCCTGGTACCCAGCAAAGGATAGCTTTTGTTCACTTTTCTGAGACCATCCAACATCTTTGGTAATTCCGATGGATTAACAGGCTCCACCGCGATTTTGATCACGCTTTGGGTATTGAACTTCAATGGCCGGAATATGTGTAGATCGTCTGAACTGTTCAGATCGGTTATTGTGCTCGTTTTCACAATAGGTCGATCGATACCCTCGATGAGGACCCAGTTGCCTGCTGGAACCCTGTTCAACTCGATCGAGTAACGTGCCTCGCTGATCCATAGTCTACCGACAGTAAGAACGCGCGAATCCTCCTCATCCGTACGAGAATATGCTTCACCCAACACGCGGACCCGTTGTCCTGCTTCCAGGGTACCGGACATCACCCTTCCGAGGACTACGAACAGCGTGCAGTCTTCGGTAGGATACATTTTTGTACTGTGAATCATTAATCTCCCCTGGAGACATTGAAACACGTTAACGAAGTCCCATAATCTTTCGATGATATATACAGATAGAAAATACTAACATCTGGATCACAGTTGACCATGTCCTGCGCGAGAGGCGAATCTATCGGTCCAGTATAAACGTGCTGCACTTTGACCGGTGCGTGCGACTGAGGACTAGGGACATGGGCTACACACATATCAACCAACCCACACATGTCACCCAAAAAACGGGTACATACGAGTCTCAAGAGAGGTCTGATGTTCATCTTCATTTCCTCCGACGTCAATCTAATACCCAATTCATCTAGGACTGTGGAATTAAATGGAGGTAAGTACACTCAAATGGATTAGAATAATTTAAGCAGTTGTTCGCGAGTTCACTAACCATCGGGTAAAGTGGTGTCCACATCACCGACAACCTGCGCGAATATCTTGTACAAAGGTTCTAGTATGAACTCGATGAAGCTGCGCTGAGCGGTATTGTGCGGCGGTTTTTTTGTAAATTTGCGCGTTTTCGAGTTGAAATATATATCGCCCCATAATCTTTTTGCGAACTCGTTAGCGTTCAAGTTGAGGTGAGTCTTCGCGTACAGAGCAGCGAAAGATTTCAGGGTGAAGCAAACATTATACTCGGAACTCGCGAAACATACGTTTCCTATCGCGGGTGACACGAAGGAGGGGTTTTCGTTATCTGAGTAAAGCGCAATCAGTCCATTGATTTCTTCGATGATATGTCTCAGTTTATAGTACGCATCTAACGGGGGTAGTTTCAGCTCTAAAATCAGCCGATCTATCTTATTTATACAGACTGTTAACGCAAGCTTTTCTTGCAGCGCGTGTTTCAGCAGGCGCTCAGTGTTTAACATGACGCCCTCCGCGGCGTCAACGATTAGTATCGCGCCGTCAGATAAACGTATCGCAGCCGTCGCCTCATCGGAGAAGTTCACGTGACCCGGCGTATCGAATATGTTTAAAAGATAAGACTTCGACTTCACGTCCTGTAACAACAGAGTGACGGGTGTTGCTTTCGTAGATACGCCCCGCTGTTGTTCCGTGAATAGCGTGTCTGTGTACCTGTAAACGTACAATAGATCTTTTTAATTCAGTTTCATTGCAAGATTTAATTGAAAAAAAATGACAGTCTATTAACATACCTCAAAGGTTTCTCATCTGTTACACTATGAAGATAGGGATGAGTCTGTCTCACTAAACAATCCACTAGAGTAGTTTTTCCATGATGCAGATGACCAAGTAGAACAACATTCCGTATTAAATGTGGCGCGTCCATCATATCTGCTAAAAATTCTATACTGTATGTTGTTTCTGGAAGTTGTTGCTGTTTTATTTGGAACTTTGGCTTCCTGGTTGGAGCTATCAATGGTTTGTCTAATGGCTGGGCATCTTCTTCTTGAACTAATGTCTCTACCTGTAATACATTGCAGTTATATTAATGACAACTATAAGAATAATGATAAAAATACATTTGTAGCTGATAGACTCACTTCTGGCCCATAAACTTCTAATGCACTGGGATAATATCTTTTATCTTCGTGCAACACAACTGCCATAGAATTGCCTTGCTCTGATTGTTCCCTAGACTCATCTTTGTCTTCTTCCATCTCTTCATCAGAGCGTTCTCTATCGTCTGCATCATCTCCAGTATTGCCATACTCATTTTCATCTTCACTATCAGAAGCTAAGTCTGGCCCAATGTAGTTACCAAATTCATCATATAGATCAGCATCCATAGTGAATGTTGTTTTAACTCAAACAATAACTGCAAGCACATGAAATATATTTATTGAATAAAAATAAAATGTTCTAAACTTCTCACTTAACTGATAGAAGAAATAGGAAAGGAAGAGTATATTACATATAATTCATTAAAAAAGTTATTTGAATAGTGATATTAGAGATAGTTTACGAGTTGTTGGCAGTGGATACATAACCTTCTTAATGACAAGTAACCGGTCGTATATAATGTTATAAGAAGCCATCAATATCAACTAATTTTGTCTGACATATCAACGACATTTGTAAAGAGTGATTAATAATGCTACACACTTACCAGGAAAAATATTATTTATAGCAAATGTTTAATCAAAGCTGTTTGTATCCGTTTATGGTTATGAACCATGCATCGTGTGTCAGTGTCATAAAATAAAACACAGTGCTGTTATACAAAAATCTTTAATTATTGCATTCAGAATACAAGTATAGAATTACACAACAATTATATTTAAAAGTGAATTACACGTGTTCTTCTTGTTTCTCTTATGTATACAAACTTCTGTAAGCTGTGCAGAGTGAAGTCAGTAAAAACGCGAAATCAACGGGACCTACCAATATAACAAAGTTATTTTCATCATTTTACTTCATACATGCAAAGTATTATTCAAACATTATGAAGTATATTTACTATATTTGATGGGGTTGTATATTTAAAGGTTCGAAGAGATTTCATTTAGTTCCATTTCCTTTCGTACGTTTTTCATTCATAATTCGTTAGGAAAGATATAGTTGGCAGCACTGCAGGAGGGTCTAATTGTACTATGCGCCGCTAGAGTATGATGCGGCAAACATTTATTAATGATTAAAAATAAAATTGTTTTAGGGTTTGTTGCTAGAACTTATTAGTGTGATTGACAAAACATGTCTCAGACGCTTTTTTTGTTAACCCTTCAATTTCTTATTTCTTTATACAAATAAAAGATTATTAAGAAATCTATAGCTTCGTTAACCCCTCTGAAGTTGTCTGTGGAAAGGTACCGCTAGAGCAGTATTGTTTGCGCGCATGGTCGTGAAAGTATACGAGACCTATCATATACGACACTTACGTTGGCAGCTTACACAAACATATTTCTACATAGATACGAATGTTGCCCACAGTGGCCCAGACTGACAGCTGGAAGAACGCGAAGCAGGAGTGGCAGATCATGTAAGGTGAGACGCCTTTGTTTTCTCGGTGCATAGATTCGTTTGGCATAGTAGAAGAACAGCATTACAATGTGTCAGTGTATATTCGCGCATCGGAAACCTCCCTTCTAATTTTGTCCTATTAGGTCTAATTGACACACCCGCTACATTGTAACGATGTGTGTTACGTTTCGGTTTTCTAATCCCTGTAAACAAAACTATTAGCCCTGATGTTACATTAGAAAGACTTAAATGTTTCTAAGCAACGTGTTGTGATTTTTAGCTAATAAGTCAACCATTTACAGGGTACCTTGGCTAGACAGTGGTAGCTTGACAATTTACGGGCAGGCACACTGCTAAGAATACATCAGAAGAGTTGACAGAATAGGCAGAAGAAGGCAGAGCAGCGGGGGAGGGGGTGGGAGAGCAAAAGGCGGTATGACACGTCCTCCCAATAATGACAACCTTATGACCTTCAAGTTGGTCGTAGTAGGAGATGGAGGTGTTGGAAAGAGTGCTCTCACCATACAGTTCTTTCAAAAATTATTTGTCACTGACTATGATCCTACCATTGAGGACAGTTACATACAACATACAGAGGTAGACAGGCAGTGGTGTATTCTAGATGGTAAGTATAATCCTGCTATAGATACATACCCTGCTTTTTGCATTTAATTCTTGGTCTTCCTGCTATGTAATCATCAAACTGTGGATGTTTACGCACATCTCCAGTCCAATAATCATGCTATCCGCTATATTTTTGGCTACGCTTGGTGTATTTTAATGGACACACAACGCATTTTTACGTGTACAAAGATTTTCTTGTACCTAACAGTGCTAGATACAGCTGGCCAAGAAGAATTCAGTGCCATGCGCGAACAATACATGCGCAAGGGTGATGGGTTTCTGTTAGTGTATTCTGTAACAGACAAACAGTCCTATGAGAATATCATGTATTTTTATACCCAGATACTTAGGGTAAAGGATAGAGACGTATACCCAATGCTTCTGGTAGCCAATAAAGTTGACTTGGTACATTTGAGAAAGGTTACAGAGGAACAGGGAAGGGAGTTGGCACATCGTCTGGGTATACCTTACATTGAAACCTCTGCCAAAGATCCGCCGTTGAACGTGGACGCAGCATTCCACGAGGTAGGGGCAGCATAGAATAATAGGAAGCTAAGATATAGAAGTCGGTGTACGAATGGTACACTGGCCGAGAACAGTTAAAGAGATGTGAATGATTTTCTCCTAGGTTGTTCGTATTATCAGAAATCAACCTCCGGCCGAATTGGATAAAAATCGGAGGAAACGAAAATGTTTGGGGAAATGTAATCTCTTCTAAGATGAGAAGGAAATATCAAAGAATTAACGTGGGGTTGCGTTACGATCACGCAATTTCTTCCACATAGGGTCACTTTCGTTTGGAAAAGTGAGACACACCTGCCAAACAAAAAGAACGGATCTTCTGTCCTCCATCGTATATAGGTACCTATGACTCGTGAACGTTTTCCCTTTTCTTTATCCATTCACCTATGATTTCATAGCATTAGTGAGCATCGAGCGATCGATATCCCACCCCTTTGTATAATAATTGTACAAAATAGCAACGATAAGGGATGCATTGAATCGAAAGGATAACAATGCGATTCATCTCCGAGACGTGACTAGATTTTTTAAAAATGAAAATCAATTCAACATCGGTTTAAGACTCGAAA